AGGGCCTATAGCCCTACCACCATCCACAATAAACATCTGCTAAATTCCAAAAACCGTTCCGTACTGTTCCGTTTCGGAGCTGTTCTACATGTGCCGTGTTGAATTCGTCCTTCCTGAAAACTGCGCGCTTGGAAGAAAAAGAAAAAGAAAAAGAAAAAGAAAAAGAAAAAGCCAAAGAAAAGAAAAAGAAAACTCGCATTCCCCTGCGCGCTCGGAAGGAAGAAAAGAAAAAGAAGAAAGAAGAAAAGAAACAGAAAAACAACGTCCTCTACGTACCCAGAACAGGGTCAGGCCCGGATCCGTTGCTATCTACGCCCAAATGAGAAAATTGTAGCTAAAAACCCAATCACAAAAAGCCTCCGTACCCTTTATCCAAAATGGCGTGAACGTAGGGGAAGATCCTCCTTCCAGCCCAAACGAATCATGGCCAGGAGTTTCATCAGAATAGGCTTTTGAGCCAGTCTGGCCACATTGGCCAGACCCCGGAAAAAGACCTCCGGGGGGTGACCCCGGAGGAGAGTCTCCTGAAGGACGTAACATATTGCAGGTACCGCTGCTGTGCATGATGACGCCAGCATAATCTGTCTCTTGACTGACGTCCCGACCATGTTAATCTTGGTGTGTTTCGACGAGCACGACTGGAAGTCCTGCATGGACTGGAAATGCAGCCGCTTGCCCTGCTGCAAAGACGCCATGTTCTTTGTCTTCGGCCAGATCTGGAAACCAATTGGTTTGGTCGTCATGGACATTTCGGTACCCAGAAAATCCCATACGTTAGTCCCTCCATCCTTTCGTGCCAGGACTACCCCTTCCGTAAAACTGTCTACAAAAGCACTAACGAGCCCTTCAGCCACCACTATCGATTCCAACACCGAAGCGGAGAAGCCCACGAGCAGCGTGATGTCATCGATTACACGGATACCTTGACAGAGCACGCGATCCTTTCCCAAGGAGGCTAAGAACGACCGCTCAGCGTGCGCGCATGTGATGCAGGCTAGCGCAGGGCTCGTGGCCCTGCCCATTGGTATCCCGGAAGTCTGCCTGATGACACGGTTCTGACATCGCGCAAATGACATACCCAGTTGAAACTGCAAGGCCTCACGAATGTGCTCGAAATCGACTGTAACGAAACCCTCATCCTTCTTCCTCGTCCTGCTGAGCGTCGTCAGTTTCCCTCTGATCGCGACCTTCACGCTACCAAAGCCACGCTCTTCAAAGTGGTCCAGCAGCCACTCCACGCCGTCGATCACGGCTGCATGGGGCAAGTGCGTGAACATCTCCTTCGCGTCGTAGCACCGCACAAGGAGAGAATCACACCCCCCTCTCGACGAGATCGTCCGTACCGCGTCGCCCACCCTTCTGGTCAATTGTGCCAGCGAGTGGAGATTGAAGTGGTGCTCTAGAGGCAAGGACACGAGAAGCCTATGTAGCGCACGCGCCACTCTTCTGTCAGCAAGTACGAAGGGACAAACGCAGGAAGGGGCAATAGGTCTACATCTCTGGAGATCTTTGTCCTTCGGGATAGTGTACAGTCGTCCCAATTTGCCGCTCGGAACCCATCTCGCAATCAAGTGGAGACCCCTGAGGTTGTACTCCGTCTTCAAATTTTTCAACACCTGATTCTCGTTATCGCTGCAGACCTCGTAGCTCGAATTCGATACGAAAGCCATCTTCATACTGTGAGAGTAGGTGACTGGGCACACAATGCGCGTGTCTCCTGGATTGCGGTCCACTGGTGTCCTCACCAGTCCGTCGAGGGAGTCTGCAAACTTCCGGACTTCCTGCTGTGTACACCCGAGGTCCGGAGGCGTCCTGTACGTCCACGCAGCAGTCCGAATCTCCAGCCACGCTTTGTGAGTGCCAGGCGGACTCCTTCTTCGACTCTGCTCACCACACTCTCATTGCCCTCCTGATACGTCACATTGCGCGAGTTCTTAACGAAATTTGGAGCCTGGATCTCGCTAATTCTACACATGACATGACCTCCTTCCTTCGGAAATGAAGGAAACTCCTCGCATCTACATGTCACTTCTCGGAGCTCGGCATACGCCCTGTGATTGTGTAACAGTTCACCAACCGAACGATTCCTCATGTACACGATCCTTACCCGAGACTGTAACAACTCACGCACTAGCTTGTGTTGTACTAGACCTCCTATCAGTCTGGCTTCCGTCGTTCCCACATCTTCGACCTTGACTCCCATGAGCGGGATCAAGACATGCTTGCTCCAACGGAACTTCCTCATCCACTTGTACAGCACCGGAGATCGCCCGAGGTTCTTACTCACCAAGCATCTGCAGTGCTCATCCCACCGAGTGGCAAAAGAACGGGTTGTCCCTCCGATGTACATCTTCTTACACCACGGGCTCATGATCACGTATACGCCTTTGTCTCTGAAACCAGGTAGTCGACCGCCGGTAGGGAGAATTTTCACGATCTTCTCCATCCAGGAGATTTGTCCTTGGTTCGTCAAGAGAATGCACGTAGTCGCCGCTGACTCGTCGACCACCCTCCTGAACTCCCGATTTCCGCTCTGTCGCCTCAGAACATCTCTTATTCCTAGGAGAGCCACGAGGTACTCCCAAAGGAAAGCGGTGTAACTGAGGCCATGTAGTCAGTTGTTGTCCTCATCAGGCGGCGAGGTGGTTGGTGATCTTCGCGAGCGCCTTGGTCTCGGGGTCGTCAAACCCTCCTCCTCCGGTACTTCTTCAATGCCAACCTGCTCCCGCTCCTCACTGGTCCTCTCTCCATCTTCGTACAACCCTTCGTATGCTAAGTCCGTCTTCGCGCATACAAGCTCTTCCACAACTTGGTCCCTCGTAATGTACCTGATGCCAGCCTTATGGCACATATCCTTGATCCGATCCGCACGCTTGGATGTCAGTTCCCGCTGAATATTGAAAACAAAATCTAACATACCGCTTCTGGTACACGATGCTGGTGTCTTCTTGTCCACTGAACCCGCCGCAGCTAATGGTGTTGGTCGCGAAGTGGGAAAATCCGCCGTTGGACCATCGCCCAAAGTCGTTCCCACAGGCGATTTGCCTTTGTCCAACTTCATGGTACGGTGCGTTGATCGCTTCGCTGATTGTGCTGAACTCTCGCCTGGCTCGAACCTCGTGCGTCTTCCGGGTGTCGTTGTTGCGGCCTTGTTTGATGAAGTGGTCCTTGGAGACCCCCTTGGTGCTGGTTCGATCTCGACCTGCGCCGGTACATATCTGGATTCCAAAAGGCGCACCAGATCAGATACTCTCTTCTCCAATTCAGACTCATCGTCCGACGAGTGTTCGCCAACCGCGAGCCGTGCGCGCACGTTCCTTGACGGCGTGTCCCTTGTTCTCTTTTGTTTCAACAGTTCCGTCTGCACCCGTAGTTCGTCCTGCTGCTTCCTGAGGTTCTCCTTCAGCTCACGATCCATCTCCGCCTTCAATGTGCTTTCCTATATAGCTCATCGCATCTCCGCCTATCTTCTTCTTCCCGCCGTTTTTTCTCCTCCTCTAACCTCTTCTGTTCTACCAGTTCCCGCTTCTGTTTGAGCATATCTCTATAATATGCCTTCATCCCTTCCAACTCCGGGTCACTATACTGTTGGTTCCTCCTCGACCAACAGTCACGTGCCATGTGACCAGTTTTCCCACAATTATAGCATGTCACTCCTGAACCATTCCCACCATTATTCCCGTTCCCACCGTTTCCATAGTTCGCGTTCCCATTCCCATTCCCATTCCCGTTGCTTCCGTAATTACTGTTATTATTCATCCCGTCCCCGTACCTGAGTATCTCCTAGAAACAAAAAGCAGTCCCGATCTCCAAATCACTTGGACAAACTCACACGCTCGTACCTCGAAAAGCTACTCGCAAATGCGCGTACACCTAGACATGCGTCTTCCTAGTCGTGCACACCCGGAAACGTCCGGAAACATCCCGTAGGCGCGATCACCAATGTGCTTTGAAACAGCGCACACAGTTCACGCGTTTCTCCGGCAGGAGACAGACGCAGGCGACGAACTGACGCCAGGGAGAAAACAGCTCACAAAGAAACGAAGTCAGATCCGAACCAGACAATACATGTCGTCCCCAAGAGAAAGTTTTCAAGCCCAGCTTGTCGGAACAAGGCGAAAAATCCTCGACCGGTTTCTGTTGTCCACCACCAACTCATCAGGAGGTGCTCGAAAGAGCTTCTGTTCCAAGAGAGGGAGAGCCTAGCCTTTCTCTCCATCTATATACGTGAGTCCAATGGGTGATCCGTATCTTCTGTGCTACTGTTCATGCGTTCACGACGTCGAAGGTCGCCGAAAAACTCTCCGAAACGCCTCGACACGGGATACCCACATGACCTCAGCACTAGATATATCTACCCGTTGTTCCCCGTATGTCAGCTGAATTTCAGAGATCTTCGTGAATAATATTTATCTAAATACGAAACCACACACCATAATGTCATTCCAAAAACCGCCGATCCGTGACGCCCTGTGTCAGAGGGCCTATAGCCCTACCACCATCCACAATAAACATCTGCTAAATTCCAAAAACCGTTCCGTTTCGGAGCTGTTCTACATGTGCCGTGTTGAATTCGTCCTTCCAGAAAACTGTGCGCTTGGAAGAAAAAGAAAAAGAAAAAGAAAAAGAAAAAGAAAAAGAAAAAGAAAAAGAAAAGAAAAAGAAAACTCGCATTCCCCTGCGCGCTCGGAAGGCAGAAAAGAAAAAGAAAAAAGAAGAAAAGAAAAAGAAAAACAAAGTCCTCTACGTACCCGGAACAGGGTCAGGCCTGGATCCGTTGCTATCTACGCGAAAATGAGAAAATTGTAGATAAAAACCCAATCACAAAAAGCCTCCGTACCCTTTATCCAAAATGGCGTAAACGTAGGGGAAGATCCTGATTAGATGGTTTGGTTCATGAACCCTTTGACCCTTGTTGAAGGCAGACTGTCCGAAAGTGGAACATAGCAGCGGGCAGCAACCCTGCGGAGCACCAGGCAACGCGGTAGAGACAACCTTGCTGAACAATGCCAGAAACAACTACAAGGAAAGACACAGCACACAGGACATGCAGCGCGGCAACCAGGGGAAGTGAAGCACAAGGCCACACCACCAAGGCAACCACACTGCAGGGGACGACACGGCAAGCGGGCGAGCAGCACAGCAACCATGCGGTGAAGCGGAAGGCAACATCAACAACTGGCAACAAGGCAACCAAGCTACTAGGTGCGCAAGCAAAGGACACAGAAAGCACGGCCAGCGGCAGGGTGGCAAGGCAACGGAGCAGCGAAGCGCAAGGCAACACCAGCAACACGGCCATGCCACACAGCGAACACATCAACTTGCAGAGAACCACATGTGAAGCAAGCGGACAGGCAGCAGGGCTGCGGCGGAGTGCAGACGAGGCCGTCCACACATCCAAATGGAGCAAAGCAGCACATGACCTACTCACATCACAATTGAACCCCGCAGACTGTTGGTTCCCACCACCCAGGGGCCAGGGAGATACTCCGGCTAGCATCCGTCATCACCGACAGGCAACACAGACATCCCGAACCAAGCGGCCCCCCTAAGAGTGCAGTAGGCACCCCAAACGTGGAACCTTAGACTGTTTAGCAGTTAGCAATTTAGCACTACTTAAGGGTCCTCAGTTGGGTAAGCAGAATTACTACAGAAAAAATCAGAGGGAGGACAGACAACAAAAGGCAAACAGGCAGACATAAAACTGATTGTGTGTGTGTGTGTCCCACGTGCGCTTTTGTGTGTGTGTGTGCATGTCTTTTTTTCCTTTTCTTTTGCATTCAATCAATCAATCAATCAATCAATCATCCAACTAGTCTAAAGCCATCTATCAATCAATCAATCAATTGAAAGGATTTCACACTGCAGACCACCAGAAGCCGGCTCCAAATCCCTAAAAGCCCGAAAGGTTCTGAAATTCCAAGTCCCAGCGTCGCAAGGGGTAGGTCTGACAGGCTAGTACATTGTTGTAGGTCTGATAGGACTGTAAATTGGCGTAGGCCTGACAGGCGACAGGCTAGTACATTGTCGTACGTCTGATAGGACTGTAAATTGTCGTAGGTCCGACAGGCCACTCAAGCGTCGTAGGTCTGAGTCAGGACACATCCGGAAAGGTTAAACCACCAGTACCTCGCCCAGCTATAGAAAAAAGTCGCGGCCGTTAACGCGCCGCGACTTTAGGGGGTCGGGGAGTTGAAGGACTGGTAGGAGCTGTTTTTCCTAAGAAATCAAAATAACCCAAAAAAATGAAAATAAATGAGATAGTAAGATACCACTTCAAAAAATAAGAAAAGAAAAAAGAAAAAGAAATAGCAAAATTCAAGGGCGGCCAGGGTTCTCTCTCTCTCTCTCTCTCTCTCTCTCTCTCTCTCTCTCTCTCTCTCTCTCTCTCTCTCTCTCTCTCTCTCTCTCTCTCTCTCTCTGGGTTGTTGCACGAGTACTGTGGAAAATGGGAATGAATCTTCCCCTACAAGGTGGCTATGTGGCACCCGCGGCCTAGGCCACGGGCATTTCGGCCCTGCGGCCGATGAGGCCCAGTCCGCGGCCTGGTTTTTCAATATTTCCCCCCCCCCAAAAAAAATACATTAAAAAAAAAATTAAAAAATATGGGGGTGTAGGGCTTGGAAAACCCTACAGAGTGACTCCTATGTTTTCTTTTTTGGAATCTGACTTTGTTTAAGATTTTTTTAAAATCAAAAGCTAAAATGGATTTAAGCAACATATATATATATATATATATGGGGTGTGAACCGACAGTCTGTAGAGTTTTCCATCTGGTGTGGGTGAGTGATAGTCTACTTTGATTTTGGTTAAGGTGGATTATCACTTACAGTGTAATCAGTGAGGGGATTCTACAGACTGTTGAGG